GCGGTGGTGACTACATTTTAGGAGCGATCTTCAGTGTATAGACATGACCCTTATATGGAAGACGAGGGTCTGGCTCTCTCCCTCTTGTGTTGTGGTTAGAGCATCTGGAAGGGCAAAGACCACAACTTCTTCTCCGATAAATACCTGTTAATCCTTTATCTGTTTTTGTGGACTCCTTTAAACCTGTCTTCAAGTCTTCTCTTTGGAAAACTAGTATTCCCACTTTTATTATTCCCCATTATTCCACAGTACTTTGTACAGAGCTCAGGCCCCAAGTTTCTTTCCCCTTTCCAAGTTACATGCCCATTGGTGTTCTTCGTGTTCAGGTCTTTTGAAGGCATCCATGTTACTGAAACTGAATGGCTCTAGCTTCACTAATTTTTCTAGGATTTACAATCTTACAAAAATATTCTAATCCTGTGGTTATTACAGTCATCTTACCCACTCTTTCACAATCTTCTGAGACATAGGAACAGGAATTATGTTGTATGATTAGGACTAGCCACCACATGATCACCTGTCCTCTGCATTTTGATCAGTTTGTGGTCTTCTGTAATGATTTTCAACTGTGGCAAAGAGAAGTTTGTTTGATGAGGCGTAAGAAACATACTCACCTATGGGTAAAAGGTTAAATACTTAGAATGTATTTAGTGTTTTAAAGTAAACATGCAATACCTCCATCAAGTTATCTGAAATTTAAAGCTGGTGATAAGAGATTCAGACATGTGGATATTAGATATGCACATTGAAAGAAGAAATTGTTGAGGAAGAGGTCATGTCTAGGAACTTCTTTCTGGTATATTTATTTTAAAACTTATATATTTTACCTAGGTTATTCATTTTTATTTACAGGCTATTCCTATCTTAAAGAAAAAAAAACAATATTAACGGTTGTTATTAGAAGGATTGAAATGGTGGTATTGGAGAGACATATACCCACATGGATACTCATGCTGGCAGAAGACCAACCCTCCAGACAGGGCACAAGTCACTTCCATGAAGTCTCATTAAGAAGCTGAAAGGGAAAGAAAAGCAACTGTGTATACAAAATAAAACATTCAAAGGGAAAGTGCTCTCCCTTGTTTTTCCTGTTGTAGAAAACAGAAATATTTTAAGCTACTTTCTTTATCATATTTTAGACAAAGTGATAGAGAGAATATTCAAGGTAAGGTACAAAAATATTATCAGAAAATATAAAAAAATACAATCACAGGCAAATGTCTAAATACATGAAGGAGAAAAGAGACCTTTGCTTCTAAAAATGAATGTGGCTCCAGAGGAAACCAATAAAATAGATATTTGGTAACAAATAGGATATGGTAATAAACATGGAAATGTTTTAAATTGTCCTGGTTTTAAAAGTAAATAACTTGGTCATGAATTATGACCTCACCTTTAGTTACTTCTCTATTGTTGTGAAGAGACCACACAACCAAGGCAACCTACAACACAAAACATTTGCTGAGGGGGCTTCTTTTAAGTCTCAGAAGACATGTCTATGATCATCATGGTGGGAAGCATGGCAGCAGGTAAGCAAGCATATTCCTCAGAGCTTCTATTCTGACCTATAGGCAGAGATGCTGGGGATACGAAGGCTTTTGGAACCATAAAGTCCATCCCGTTGGTATACCTTATCCGACAAGACCACATATCCTAAGCCTTCCTAAAATAATTCCACTAACTAGGGACCATAAATTCAACTATGGAAGCATATTGGAGCCATTCTCATTCAAACCTGCACAGACTCTGTGGAAGATGAAATATTTGAATGAAATACTGATAATCTATGCCTAAAATATAAATGCATCAAAGAGTTAAAATATACAGTGATCAGTTTTCATCTCTAAAATGGGTGACTGTATGAAAAAACCTTAGGTAAACATATAGACCAATTGCTGTGAGAAGTTTTTATGAATATGCCAAAGGAGGGTCCATTAAAGTGAAAATGAAGGAGTCGGAAAGCAAGTCAGAAGTATAGAAGTATGAACATGTAAAAGTATCTGTGTTTGTAATCAATCTTGTAGAAAGATGTTTTAAAGGCAAGAGAAGATTCAAATGTGTCGAACAAAATTAATCATGTAAAGACACATAAAACAATTTTATGATAGTGCTGTTGAGAAAGCCATTGTGACATAGTTATTTAGACAATACATCATAAAAAATAGAAGTAACTCACCCTTTTCCAGGTAAAAAGTGTTCTTAGAGAAATGGTGAAATTTTGGTGGATAATTGTAAGAATGATTATATGAAGTTTGACAACCAAAAGCCACTCTCTGAGATCAAAAGGAACAGTTGATAAAAATAAGAGTATTTTTCTGTTTAAAATTTCTTTCAAAGTCAAAGTCTACTTGAAGGAATATAGAATTTTCTTTAACAATTTCTTCCTGTACTTACAATCACTTGCTAGCTGTGAATCTCAACTTAGATATTGGTACATCTGAGGGTGGGGCTACTATGAAGCATGCAGAGAAAACTTTTGAGGAAAAACTGCCACTTTGTAAGTGTAGAGCAATAGACTCCTTGTGACTGTATAATATTGTATTACAGGGAAATATTTTCTTTCAGAATGTTTTTATTTCAATTATATGAGAAAACAGTTAGTATGTATTTTGGGAAGTGTGTCAAAGCAACAAAAGCTTCTTAATAACAGGAGTGGTCTCACTGGAAATTGCCTGACAAAGTGAAACATTTCAATGATGGCAACCTTCCTTAGGCAGAATGCAGCTATTGTTAAAATGGAGACAATTTATCTTTTAATTCAGCAGTAATTCCAGTCCATTTAAGCTGTATTCTCTATGATCCTAACAATAAGTGGTGGTAGTGTGTTAAATTAATACTACTTATAAAGAATATTTCGTATCTTTTCATTGTATTTTTTTGAACGAGGAACATTTAGCACAGTTATCTTTGAATGAATTATACAAATTAGTATTTTTCCATTCCAGAATTCACACACATTTTGGTCTCCATTCAAGATACTTGAGAGCAGCATGAAATTAAATCCTTAGTAATGGAAGACTACTTCAAAATGGTGGGGAATCCAGAAAAAAAGATAGGTGGGAACAAATTGCATGAAATAATAACTTAGAACAAATTGGATAAAATAATTTATTAAACAATCAGCATGATAACTCAGTGATGTCACCTTGTAAAAATGTCACTTTGGTAAGAAGAAAATTCAGGAAATATATCGTGATTTTGGTAAATTTCCTGAAGGCTTTAATTCAAAATCTCATTTAAGAAATGTGAAATCTACTTCTAACACTAAACTATTAAATATGTAGATGTACAAAAAAAAGGTTAGTCAAGGAAATAAATGTTATAAGAATTTATCCATAAATTTAAGATCTTTACTCACTTAAACATAGAACAATTTTTTACTCTGTGCTTTTCCCATAGAAAGCATGATGGTCTTCCATATACATGAACAATCTGAAATTGTCCATAGTTTAGTAATGAGGGCAACAAGGAGCAGCTACTTTACCTAAGATTCAACAGAAGCAAATCCATGCTTGTACTGGAAAAGCACCTACTCATGGTTGGTGCAGACATAGATCCAAGAGGAGAACCCACTATTAATGTCTTCCTAAGCCAATGTGGTTTCTAACTGAATTCTAAAACTTGTCCTAGTATCCATAAATAAATGCAATTTTCAACTCACATCAAAGAAGTTTCTCTTTATTCAGCAGCCCAACCATTACAGAAATAAAATTTTTTTCAAAATGCAGATCAGGGGGAACCCAATTCTAAATGATATATTTAAAAAATAACTGCTACGCCCTAGGCCCACAGAATCATGTGGAAGAGTAGAAGAAAAGATTGTAGACATAAGTGGGCCAGAGGTCTGCTGCAAACTGTGTCTTCTAGCTATTACAGGGAAGTTATAGCCATGAAATCTTAACAATACTCTCTCAGCCCAGATACACAGAGGAGGGCCTAGGCCCTCCCCCCAACTTATGTGACAGATTTTAATGATCCCCCATGGATGTCCTCACCCTTTTTGGGGAGGGAATGGGATTGCGATGTGGGGAGGGAGTTGGTGGAGGGCATGGAAGAATGGGATGGAGAGGGAACTGGGGTTGATATGTAAAATAATATTGTTTCTAAATTAAATAAATTTTTAAAAAATAACAATATGGCTGCCTAAACAAGACCTGAAGAATGACAACACCAGTTACCATGCCAGTGTGTGGCAGAGAAATCTCATAGAGCCACACCCCTAGTGGAGCATTGCAGGGAATTAATGGCTGCTGAGAGGGCAATAATAAATTTTTCCCAGGTATTAGTGGCCTAAATGGTTATCCAATTCCAAGTTGTCAGCACTAAACACATATACAAAACAAACAGACAAACAACATCAACAAAAACAGGAAATGAGCCTTGCAAGATGCATGTGCACATTTATATGCATATAGGTTAAAATTATTTAAAAAGAAGAGATCATCAAATTGAGAAGGTAGCAAAAGTTTGAGGAGGAAGTGGGAGAAGTAGACATAATGTAAATACAGTACTCCTGTATAAAACTCTCCAAACAAAAATTAAAGTCAAAAATTCTAAGGAATACAATGAACACAATAGTGACAAAGAAAGCATTGTTTAAAGTCAAAAGATAAAGAACACAATATGGGTTATATGGGTTATTTTACAAGTTGTAGGATAGGAGGACAATCATAGTTTACAGCTTTTTTTTTTTTTTTTTTTTTTTTTTTTTTTTTTTTGCTTCAAAAGGTGGGTATTGTTTACTTTAGGCAACAGTCCAGAAGTACAAATTTCAAGGACGAGACTTTTCTTCATGGTCAAGCACCAGTGTCGTGCACATGGCATTGAGTTACCCCATTAGGCCTGCCTCCTTGTATGCTTCACCTTGCAACTCCAGGCAGTTTGACGGTACACCTGAAGCCTTCCTCTTCCCCTCTGGTGGCTCTGCCCAGCAGCTCGCCAGTCACAGTGGCCCTGGCATCCTTCCTTTTGAAGGCAGCGGGGTGAGGTGCGCATGCTTATCATCCCACATGGCAGAGGAAGGCGCGCTTAGCAAAGGACACTGATGGTGGGGGCGACACGAAGGCCACATCACAGACGATGCGTATCGTATAGGGGCTGCAGGGCAGCACCTGTGACTGCCATCGTCCCACCACACCAAACCAAATAACAGCATCAAGAACCCTGGTACAAAAGCGTCTCTACCATCAGGAACCAGATCATGTGTTCTTAGAAATAATCTACTACTCCAGTCTACTACTAGAAAACACGCATGCCATGGCCCACAGACCCAGAAGTCAGACAGAAGGAAAAGGAATAGAGAAAGCTGGGGAAGGAAAAACACAAACAAAAACAAAACAGACAGCAATACATAAAGTGCTTCTCTTTTAATGAAACAAATCCAAAAAAAAGATGTACAGTCAGGCTCACGGTGTGCAGTTCACAAGCATGGAAAAACAGACAGACAGAAGGACAGAGTTCCAATAAAAGAAGCCAACCCAAGACTAGGCTGCATTTGCCGCCAGGAGGGTTTCTCCTGGATGGCGCTGGGGCCGGGGCCACTGGGCTGGGCACAGGAGCAGCAGGCACAGGCTTCTCTTCAATCTGCCCCAGGCTGGCTTGGAAGTCTGTGTCCACATTTTCATGCCTATCACCTTCTCCCTTGAGGTCTAAGAAGTCTCCAGAGCTTGCTTTAGAAGGAGCACTTCTCTGTGCTCCAGGTGATTCCGAATCTTCCCTGACACCACAAGACTTGGCACCTGCTGACTTGGCCCAAGATGGAGGGTTTTCTTCAGGTGTCCCAAAGATTCTAGAGGCCATCTTGTTCTTCTTCACAGGCTGTTCTGATGGCTCATCGAAGCCTAGTGAGAAGTTGGAGCCACCACCTGGAGGCCTCAAAACCTGGGAGCTGTTCCTGCTGTTGGGGTCCACACCCTTGAAGGTAGTGGTAGTGGTTATGGCGCTGAGGGGCGAGGTAGGCTGGCACTGGGAGGACGCCGAGGGACTAGGACCAACCGGCCTGAGCTGCTCCGCAATCACGACCAGCCGCGCTCCACGAGCCTCTGCCCAGTTTACAGCTTTTAATATTTATTCTAGATCAGAGATGCATTTTAGATGAAAAGATATGATTTGTATATAATGTCACGTTGGGCAATATATAAAGAATAGTCAATGTAATTGTTAATGGAAATGCCTGAGTTTTGAAGAATGTTTTTTTTTTTCCAAATTTAAGAAGTATACTTATATTCCATAGGAATAGAATTTCTCAAGGAAAATTTGTTCCCTAAATATTCTAAATCCTAACCTAAAATTAAGAAATGCAATTGGAAAAACAATAAAACCTCTTATGGTCCTCACCCTTTTAGTTGTTACACTTATTCTTACTTATATATTAAAAACATAGAATATTTATAGCCAAAGAAGATATATAAGAAACAACATTGTACCAAAACTTCATAGATAAGCATAACTGCTACAGCCTGGGCTTCAACTCTCAGCTCCATGGGGAACCAGCTGTAAGGCACTTGAGGAAAATAGTATATTACTTACCTCTCTGCGTTACTAAAATGGGGATTCAATAAGGTAATGATTTTAATGACATATCAAAATATACTTTACATTTAATAACTGCCTGGTAAATGTTGGTAAAATTATTATCATTTTATAGTAAGATTTAATAGTTACACATATAAGAAAACCATTAACTTGCTGACTGGCATCACAGAGAGTTTTTAATCTAAGAAATATGTGTAAAAGTTTGCCAAAAAGGTAAGAGAGGTGGAGTTCTAGAAGAAATATATGTAGGAAAGTAACACACTAACGTAGTGGTCTCATTGCCAGCTCTTTTCCTTTCATTGCCTTTTAAAGAAAGCCTGAGGTGAAAATGCTGTGATACCCTTCCTCTATGATATTTCTTGGACAGGTGAATTACTTCTTTTATCATTAATGCCATTTAATCCTAATTATTTTCAAATTTGTTTCTCTAAATCAAACCTGTGCTTTACATTCTAGAGTCAAATATTTAACACACTTGATTAACTGGTATAAACATCCACCTAATAAATAGCTCAAGCCAGTAGCTAGGCATCCCTTCCCCATTTTCCAGAGCCTATTTTCAGGAAGCTATCTTGATGCCTTATTCTTGCTGCAGAATTCTATCTCTGATGCTGTGTCTTCTGTTCTAGTCCATGTTGGTGACTTCTGTGTTTCCCTATAATATTTTTACAAAGAAGCACCTTTATCTTTTATTAATAAGGATTGTATTAATAAGGACTGCAAGTCAGGCATGTTGGTTCAAGCCTTTAATCCCAGTACTCAGGAGGCAGAGGCAGGAGAATTTCTGTGAATTCAAGGCCGGTCTGCTCTATTAAAAAATTCCAAGACAGCAAAAGTTACGCAAAGAAAGCCTCTCTCAAAATACCCAGAAAAGGGATTGTATTATGTTATATTGTTGCTAGAAACTCTACTGCAGTCTTATTGTAGTTAATTTTTTAATCAGTAAAATAAAATACCAGAAAGATTTTTCTCATTTTGAAATACATTTTTCTTTTACAGAGTTCATGGTTTATTGGCTGTCATGAAGTGGAAACTTTTTCATGCCAGATAGCTTCATTCTGGAATTCTTTGTATATCATTTTAACAGGAGTATCTGTTCTCATTCTGCTAGTTTCTACTTTAAAACTCAATAAAACTCCAAATTAAATCCATGCTTTTACAACTATGTGATTAGCAACTAAGGTGTCAAGACATAATGAAGGAAAGGAGGCTGAATTTCTTCAATAAAGAGGATTTAGAAGACAATATACATATGCAGAGAAATGAAATTGGGCCTTCATTTTTCACCATGTATAAAAACCAACTTAGAGACTTAAATGCAGTGCCTGAAATGCAGTCCTGCACAGTAGGACAAAGCGGAAAGCTCCATAACACAGGTTTAGACCATGGTATATTTTGATAAGAGCCCCAATGCATAAGCAACAAAGCTTACCTTAGAGTGAAAACACCATGACATTTCAGATGTCTTAAACATGGGATATCCATTGAGAAAGTTTTTGGCAGAATAATGTGAGCCCCAGTAAGGCTACATGTTCTGCAGTAAGCAGAGCAGGAGAGCTGTAATTTACCAAGGCCCATTGAATCCAATATAACCTAGAGCCAAAGAAGCCAGATATGAAGGAACACAATATGACATTGGCCCTGCTGAGTTTTTGTCTTATTTTGGCAATCCTTCCTCCCTATTCTTCCATTCTTCCTTTGGGGAATGTTTACTCCATTGGTTTTTGTTGTTTATGTTACTTCATAAAGGCTCACAGCTATCTGATCCCTTGAGTCTCTAAAGAGACTTTGAACAATAGTATAACTGAAATACTGTAAGGAAAGACTCTTTGCAATACTATAAGGAAATATTTTTAGTTATTAAGTTTTAACTAGTTTTAAAATTTTCATATAATGTAACTAAGAAGACTTTTAAAGTTGGGCTGAGAACATTTAACATTATGGACCAAGGACAGAATGTTACAATTTATATGTAAAATATCCCTCAGATGCTTATGTCTTTCAGTACTTAGTCCCCAGCTAAGTACAATATATTCAAATGAAATGTACCTCAGTAGGCTTATATTTTTGAGAACATAGTCCCCAGATATTATTTCTCCTTTGGGATATGGTAGAACCTTGTGAAAATAGGGACTAGGTAACATAGATGTAGAGGGGATGTTACCTGGCAGGGTTCTGCCAGAAACTTCTACTCCCTGTTATTCAACCTGTTTTAACCAGCCCCCTTATGCTTCTGATGTCACAGCCAAGAGCTATGACCATGCCTTTGTCACCATGCCTTTGTCACCATGATAGAACTACATCCTCTCAAAGTGTGAACCAAAGTAAATCCTTCTCCCTTAAGTTGTTTCTGTCAGGTATTTTCTCAGAAGGAGCAGAGTAACTGGCACTGTGTTCATCAAATATTAATTGACTAGAAACAAATGTGTGTGGTACATGAATACATATATTTGTGTGTGTGTGTTGTGTGTGTGTGTGTGTGTGTATGAGAGAGAGAGATCCTTATATAAAAGGAGAAAGTTTGTAATTAGAGATTGCATAGATGAAATTGGAAGGCATTATGTTAGTTACACAGATACAGAAAGATAAATGCCACATGGTCTCATACATTGGAAATAAAGTTGATTTATTAGAAAAGCGTGGAATAGTGGTCATTCAATTTGGAAATTAGATTCAAATGAAATGTATTAATTGAGTGACAAGATATTCATTTTTAAAATACTGCAATAAATGTGTTCTCACAATAAAACATGCTATGAATGTAAAATAGCAATATATTTATTACATTTTAGTATTCATGTGTGCACACTCTTTATAGCACCAGATACATGTTAAACATATATGATTTTACCTGTTTGAATTTAAAATTAAATAAAATATTTCTACTCTTAATAGCCTTTATAAGCTACCTCATGATAAGTATATAGCACTTCCTACTTATTATTAACGTTTTGTTCTTTTAACTCTTGGTAAGCTATAAAATATTTGGGAATATGTGTGCTTTATACCACCACATTTCTATGCTGTGCAATTAATATTAATGACAAATTCACTCATTCAACATAGAGTTATTGGATTATTATTGGTATGCAACACAAAGTCATATGAAATTATCTATGTTTCAGAAGGATTACTAAATTTGGTACACTGGGACAAATTGCAATACGACAAGAATGAAAACAGAACAAAACTTGCAAATATGTAACATGTAAGAAATGAGAGTTACTTTCTCTAATCTTCTAGTACTGGAGATTCTAGAAGTGTGTGGTTTACATTAATTGTAAGAGACAGAAAACTAATAACTTGTTGATGACATCTTTGTGGAAGCAAAAGAAAACATGAAGAATTGCATCCAAGACCTTTTAAACAATCAAAACAACCATATCAACTGTAGTGTCAAAGCAGGAAACAGATTTGAGGGAGCTATTCGAGTTTCCTATTAAATACAAGTATAAACATCAACTTGGTGGTTGAAAATATTTGTTTGGATACTATGTGCAACTTTGAGTAAATATGAATTAATTTGTCATCAGCATAAGAATGGCTTGAAAACTACACACACATCACATCCTATAGGGAGAAACTCTGACAATGTACCAAATAAGTACAGGTCATCCTGATGATTCTATTTTCTTGTTTAATATAGTAACCATGTTGTAGGTTACATTTCTACCCTTATTTTATAGATAATAAAACTGAAACATAAAACAAATGAAACACATTCAAAGTAATATAGTCAGTAAGTTGTAAGGCTAGGTTTTGAGCACAAGGTATCTTTCTACAAATCGCATGAAATGGCAAGATGGCAATCTGACAGTTGAGAAATAGGACCCACCCAAAATTTATAAGAAGCTGTGGGAACTGCCAAAACTGAAAGAGAAGGGATAGACAACAATGAAAATCAGAGCACAGTTGTGTCACAGAAGGGGTGAATTTATTACAAAGTTGGAAGTAGAACTCATTTACAGTCACTGCTGCTGAAACATAAAATGCCATACAGATAAAGATCGCATAATACCACAACTGGACACATTAAAGAGGTCAATGGGTTGCAGGGAGCTCAACCCCAGTGGGTACAACACGATATGTATCTGAAATACAACCCTTGCATTTATGGTTCATGGAACATCATGGTAGAGGGGCAAAATGACTGTAAGAGCCTGAATACCAAGAAATTTGCTGTGAAACAATCTTTCTTAGAATAAAGTCACAATACAATAGACATGCTAACTCAGAAGGGGGATATTTCTCATGAGGTTCCACACCTAGAGAAGGAACTGTAGATGGTTTAATGACTGTTGAAGGAGGGAGATATAGTCTCTCCCAAACATAAGTCCTTTAATTAGTTATACAATGTACTAAGTGGTCAGCCTTAAAACCACATACACACAAGGAGCAAAAGGTTGTATTTATAAGTCTATGTTGCTTATGTATACAACACACACACACACACATGTGCATGCACGCCACTCAAATACATATGTAACAACAATAATAATAAAGAAGTGGTCAATTTGAGAATGGGGGGATAAATGGAGGGCTTGGAAGGAAAGGACATGGGAAGGAAAGAAGGGAGGAAAAGAAAGGAGGGAAGTGATACAATTATGCTGTAATCACTATATATATTATACAGCCTCTGGTAAGTTAACTACACTCCAGTAGAAGTCACATACTCAAGAATATATGAGCAATAGACGTTGGACATGATGGGTTTGAAATGAAAACTGCTACATAAATCTTATAGCACACTGAAGAGGAACTGAAGAAAGAGATTATTGTCATCAAAACATATACCCATTGTCTGATATATGAGTGAGACAGCCCCAAAATTGTGAGCATGGGAGAGCTGTACACATTACTCATCTGTCTTGTGGATGCATGAGCAGGGAAGAGATGTCCTCTCCTCCAAGCCCATTGACATCTGAAGCAGGTGGGAGAGCAGGCCCTGAGGTCATAGAGTGGGAGACCTATCCATGGCCCTACCAGCTTCAACACGGCAGGAGAGTGGCCCTATATCTCTATCTTACCTGGAAAACACAATAGAGCTGGCACATAAGGTGAAGATGAGGGAAAACTGACCATGAGGATATGAAAACAGGAAAACTGGTGCCACTCTTGCTCACTAATGCAAGGGGTGAACTAGCCAGGGCAATGCTGGAAAGCTCAGTTGAGTGGTAAAGACAGGGAGCGATGGTGGGCTGATGAACCCTGCAGCTACCCAAGCCTAAAACCAGGGTTATGAGTTGGCCCATCCCATCATACATCCCATCTGTGATATGCTAGAGCATGGGGGTAGGGTTGGAGTGTGACCTATAGACCCAGGGATACTGGATATCAATGAAACAGGGTAGCAACAGGATGTCCAGAGAAAGTCCCAGTGAGGGCCAGTGTCAATGATGTAGCAGAGAACAGAGACCTTAACCAGACAAATGATTCTTTGCAATGAGTACCTGAATGTAAAGATGTATGGATAAAGGGGTTTACTATGTCAATCACTGACTCACATTATAGGTTCCTTTTTTTTTTTCTTTATTTTTTTTATCTTTTATTTTATTTTACATATCAATCCCAGTTCCCCCTCCCTCCCTCTTTCCCTCTTTTCCACCCTCTCATACCCCCACTACCCTCCCCTCTCAACCCCCCCCAACTCCACGTGTAGGGTGATACCTTCCAGGAGGATTCATCTAAATCTGTCAAGTCATTTGGAGTAAGGACTAGGCCTTCTCTCCTGTCTCTAGGTTAAGGGAGTATTCCTCCATGGGGGATGTGTCTGCAAGGTCCTTTTGTACACCAGGGATACAGCATGGTTCCACTGTCTGAGGTCCCTTAGACTGCCCAGGCCTTCTAACTGAGACCCATGTTCAGGGGGTCTGAGTCAGTCCCATGCTAGATTCCCAGCTAGCCATCTGGGGCCCCATTAGCTCCTCCTTGTTCAGGTCAGTTGTCTCTATGTGTTTCTGCAACCTGGTCTTCTCCTCCCTCTCTGCATCAGGATTCCAGTTCACCTCAGTATTTAGTTGTTTCCATCAGCTACTAGATGAGGGCTCTATGATGATGGATAAGTTAGTCATTGATCTCATTATCAGGTAAGGGCATTTATGGTAGCTCAAATTGTTAGTTGGGGTCAATCTTGAGATCTTTGGACATTTATCTAGGTTCAGTTTTCTCTTCAAACCTATAATGGCTCCCTGTTATATTCTCTCTCTCTCTCTCTCTCTCTCTCTCTCTCTCTCTCTCTCTCTCTCTCTCTCTCTCTCTCATTTGTCTATTGTTCCCCTGACTCAATCTGCCTAGTCCCACTTGCTTTCCTCTCCTCCCCTTCTCACCCTGCCACTCCCCATATGCTGAGGAGATCTTGTCCCTTTCCCCTTCTGTGAGGGACTTTATATGTATCTCTTAGAATCCTCCTTGTACCCTAGTTTCTCTGTCAGTGTGAATTATAGGCTGGTGATCCTTTGCTCTAGGTCTAAAATCCATATATGAGGGAGGAAAAACCATGTTGCTCTTTTTGTGACTGGGTTACATCATTCAGGATGGTTTCTTCAAGTTTCATCCACTTGCTTGCGAATTTCAAGATTCCATTGCCCCCCCTCCACAGAGTAGTATTCCATTGTGTAAAATAATAAATGTGAATATTTAATTGGTCAAGCTGAGGGTTGTGGTTAAACTCAGACGGCAAAAAAGAAAAAAGAAAAAAGAAAAAAATAAAACAAAAAGCAAAAAGAACTCAGACATGAAACAGGGACTTGAGGGGTTGATTTAGTGGTGGACAGGAATGAGAATCAAATAGTAGATGATGGAAGGTTGGTGAGAGTAACCAGAATTCACTATATGCATTTATGAAAAATGAACAAACTTAATAAGTGTTTCAAAAAATATATTTTAAAAGGGCTGAGGGGATGGCTCAGCAGCTAAGAGCATATATTGAATGTACAGGTGGTCTGTGCTCAGTTTCCTGCATCTACTTTAAGTGGCTCACAACTGCCTATAGTGGCAATCATAGTGACTCTAATTCTTCTGGTTTTCATACCTGTACTCATATGCATGCCTACCACACACACAAACACAGATACATAAGGATTCACGTATCAAATGCTGCATCAACAGGGAATGTATATTCGTGGATCTCTCCATGAAAATAATTGCAGTAATTGCTAGTTTATGAGTAAATGTCTCAACATTATTATTTCTCAATGACATAAACTAAAAAGGAATCAAATCATCTTTTGAAAGTAGGTGAAAAGAATAAGTGAAATGTAGTGTTTGTAAATTTTAATTTCATATGCTTATACATCAAATTTTCAGTAAGAATAAAGAATTGGTACATCTACAAGGGTCATTTTTTTTTTAAATTGTGATTAAATTTCTCCACAGTGAAATGAAGAGATATTAGCTGTGACTGTTTCGTCTCTAGTTTATGGTACACTTATGTTCTTATGTCAGAGATGCTAAATAATAATACTATGATCAATCTATAAATCTTACTCTCAGATCTGCATATGCATGTGCAAACACATACATTCACACACACACACACACACACACACACACATCAATATACTAGGTACTAGTTTGAAAAGTAAATAAAAAGTACTAGAGCTAAAAAGTCAGCTGTTGAATAACATGTTTAGGAAATAGCTAGGAATATGACCATAAAATTTCTATACTTAAAAGGTTTTTAAAAATCACTAATATGAAGGGAATATATGAGATCACAAGGGTATAATGTCATTGGCAAATTCTATCCTAATTGATAGCTACCAACAAACTCTATATTGTACAATAGTAAGCTCCATAGTTTTAAAATTAGACTCTTACAAATCAAATGATGTCAATAATTCGGGAAAAATCAGGGTTATTCAAAGATTTACATTATTCATCATAAAAAATATAGCCTCTTTTTAAGTAATAGGAAAATAAATCTGTAATATTTAACTGGAAAATGTTCAAAGGCCAGACACTACAGCCAGAAACTCTGATCTATTTCCCTTCAGGCAATTGACTGGAAAGGAATTCTGCCTATAAATAATGACTACAAGCTGTTGTCCATAGAACTTCCATAAGGAACCATCAAAATGTTGGAATGCTCAAGGCAATGTAAACGTGACTGATAATTTAACAAACTGGGGCTAAAAAAAAAAAAAATCTAAAATGTTGGCAGGACTTTTGCCATGCCAAAGGTTCTAGGTGAAGATTCTTCCTGATGTCTTCTGCCATCTCATGGGGACAATCATGGTAGTCCTTAGCTTTTGGAGCGTCACTCCCATCTGTACCTGATAGGTGGCATGTGGCAGACCAACACAATTCATTTTGAGTAGTGTCTCCTTTATATGAGAAGCAGCAGTGCCCATGAATCTCAAAGATATAGTTGCCTGAACAAGACCTGAACAATAACACCAATTGGTATGCCAACATAGGTAAAGACAATCTTTTGAGGGTCCACCCACAGATGAAGAACTAGAGGCATTTAATGTCTTCTGAGAGAAGAAGAATTATTATTTTTCAGAAATGAGTCCCCTACTATCAATTCCTAGTAGTCAACTCTAAATGTGTTTGAGTAACAATGAACTCATTAGGTTGGATTTATATGTACATATGCATATATATATACATATATGTATATATAATGTAAAAATAATAATTTAAAATAAGAAGGCATAAATTTGAGATGGAGTGGCGATGCATAGAAAAAGTAGGAGAGAAGTTATATGTTGAAATAATGTCAAAACAAAACAATACACGTGTATGAAATCCTAAAAAATAAACTAAATTTAAGAAAGGAAAATATCAGAGAAAATTACATTGGAAAGTATAAATAACGAAATCAGATATAGGAAACTCAAAATCTTGTTCAAGGTGAAGAAAACAATCAAATGAGTGAAGAATCAGTCTCAGAATAAGAGAAAGCACACACACACACACACACACACTCACATACATAAACACAGAGACACATACAATACTGTATACTGAAAAAAGGGAATGATTTTAAATATGTACAGAAATCACAAAAGCTGTAAAATTTGTGATTTAAAAATTACTGAATGATCTGAAAATATACATTTTTAAAGAAAATAGAGATGGCCAGCAATGCTTACTATTCACTCATCAGGGTACCCAAAACCACCCAAAGCCTCATGCCCCTAAGAATGGCAGTCAAAGAGTAAGATACCTGAGCTGCTGAGGATGAGGAAAAAGAGAATTTGTGGGAATGTAAATTAGTGAAGGCATTTTGAAAATGGCCTGGAATTAAACAACAGCAACCAGAGAATAAAACTATAGTATGGCCCTGAAATCTTGCTATTTGTGTGTATCCAAAGGGCATGAAATCAACATACTGAACATTCAATGTTTATTGCACATGGTTCACAATAGCCAAGAACAGGAAACAAAAAGTGAAAAAGTAATGTCATACTTATCTAGAAGGAAATACTGTTTAACTACTTCAAAGAATAAACAACTCTCATTTATGCCAATCTGGATGGCACTGAAAGTCAGTCAGTGGGCATCTTGCAAAAACACAAAACTTCTTTATATAGCTAGCACTGTGCACCTGCTGGAAAGAATGAAGCAGAACTAAAAGTAAAAGATTGCAAACACATATCTCGACATTAAAATGCTGCTGCATTAAGGCTGATAATAAATTCATTAAGCATTGCCTGGCCAAGGAAAAAGATGACCTAACCATTGATCTTTCCCTCTTTTTCAAATCCAACCACTGGACTTGTCCTCAGTTATGTAGCAGAATACCTGCTGAGATCTCAGAATTATTTTTTGGCCCATTCACAGGTAACTAAGCAGAACCTAGTAGGAGACCCTGTTTTCCTCTTTCCTGTGGAAAAACTCACCCCCTCCCCTATAGCCAATTCCCATTCTTAAGTATCAGCTACCAATACTTAGTAACATATCTTATCCAGAATAAAAATGGCCACATTTTATCAGAAATCCAGAGAATTCTCTACCAAGCAGCACAATCCACCACATACCTTAAGAACCAAAAAGGCAACAGAAACCAAGGAACAAAAGACCCACCTAACAAATGAAAGATAACATATCTGCACCTAGAATTACAGTCTTCCCAAACCTAGATGCCACTGTAAAAAACGCAACCATAACAGCCAATATGTCTCCACTAGAGGCCAGCATCCCTACTATGGCAGGCCCTGAATATTCCAACAGGGCTGGAAGACATGATAATGCCATAACTTGCCCTTTATTAATATGGTACGTTCCTTAAACAAGAAATAGATAAACTCATTAAAGAAATCTATGAAAACCAATAGATTATATGCATAAAATAGTTCAAGACCAGAAAGTGGTACTATCATCAATAAATGAAAACAAAGCTGATAGAAATCTGGAAATGAAAAATTTAGGAACTCAAAAAAGTAACCTCAGAGACAAGCCTCTCAAACAAAATATAAAAGAGAGAAGAGAGAAACTCAGACACTGAAGACAAAACAAAAGAACTTGATATCTTGGTTAAATAAAATGTTAAAACAAAACAAAACAAAAACAAAAAAAACCCACCATCATAGAGCCCTCATCTAGTAGCTGATGGAAACAGAAGCAAACACCCACAACTAAACACTGAGCTAAACGGGAATCCAAATATAGAGAGGGAGGACAAGACCAGGCTGCAGAAACACATAGAGACAGTTGACCTGAACAAGGAGGAGTTAATTGGCCCCCAGACTGCTAGCTGGGAATCAGCATGGGACTGACTCAGACTTCCTGAACTTGGGACTCAGCTAGAAGGCCTGGGCAGTCTAAGGGACCTTGGACACTGAAACCAGGATGTATCCCTGGTGCACAAAAGGACTTTGGGAATACAACCCCCATGGAGGGAGACTCCCTTAACCTAGAGACAGGAGAGAAGGCTTAGTCCCTACTCCAAATGACTTAACAGATTTAGATGTCCCCTCATGGAAGGCATTACCCGATATGTGGAGTGTGGAGAGGACTGAGGGGGGAAGGGGAATTAGAGGGTGGGAGTGAGGGAAAGAGGGAGAGAGGAAGAAGGAACTAGGATCAACATGTAAAATAAAAATAAAAAATTGAAAAAAGGAAAACAATTAAAAGAAAAGCCATGAGCAAAATATCCAGGAATATGTGAATGTTATGAAATGACTAACTTAATTAAAATATAAGTAGAGGAAGGAGGAGATTAAAGGCACAAAAACACAGTACAAGGCACAGAAAAATATGCTAATGAAATTACAGAAGAAAATTTCCCTATGCAAAAGAAGAAGAGGACTATCAGGGTACAAGAAACATAAGGAACCCCAAATTGATTGTGCCAGAAAAGAAATATGCATTGACATATAATAATTAACACACTAAACATACAGAATGAAGAAAAAATATTAAAATTACTGAGGGAAAAAGACAATGACACATATAAAGGCACAAGATGAGAATCACACCTGACTTCTCAATGACACTTAAAAGCTTTGTTCAATTACAAAACGTGAATATTCCAACAGAGATGGAGCATAATAAAAAGACATAAAGTCAGCTTTATGAAGATGATATTGGCCCTTTAAGATGAAGTGAATAAATCTCTTTTTTTATTTATTTTATATAACCAAGTCCATTTAAATGTAAACAAATATTTATAGACTATATTTGGGAATTTGGGCGTCATTCTTTCCAAATTACTTCCTGCTGGTAAGGGGCACTGTCATGGGGGATTTGAAGAAGATTCAGAAATCCTGGCTGTAGTCTGTAAGGCTGCTTTGTCCAGCTGTTTTGAATGTAGGATCACCTGGTACTCTGTTTCAGGTGGTCTGGCTTGATCAAACCACATTAGTCTGGAAAGAATCCACATCTTTTCATTTTCTGTGGAAACAAAAATAGAAATCCTTTTCCCCAGTAACTTGTCCTTGAACTTAAATTTTGGAGTCAAAGCATTTTTTTAAGTTAATTTATTATTTTACATGTCAATCCCAGGTCCCTCTCCCCCCTCCCTCCCTCCCAAACTCCCTCAATCAATCCCTTCTTCTCTCCCTCCTTCCCTCCCTTTTACCCTCTCTGCCCTCTCACA